TAAGACAAAATATGGTGATCAAATATCTACTATATAAAGAACTGATACACATTAATAAGGAAAACTATAGGCCCCTGTATTGTTGCAACAAGGCTGTTTTTGTAAGTCCTTAAACTCTTTAGCTGGCCGGGCTTGGTGGCTCAGCCTGTAATCCCAGCGCTTTGGGAGGCCGAAGTCAGAGAATTGCCTGAGCCTGCGAGGGTATTTAGTCCGTTTGGGCTGTTATAGCATAGTATGGGCAGATTTGGTGTCTGGTGAGGACCCACTTCTTAGTTCACAGATGCTTAGTTCACAGGTTCGAGACCCACCTGGGCAACTTGGCGAGACCTCATCTCTACAATAAATCAAAAATTAGCTGGGCGTGGTAGCGCACGCCTGTAGTTCCAGCTACTTGGATTGGAAGGCTGAGGCGGAAGGATCGCCGGAGCCCAGTGGGTCGAGGCTGCGGTGGCCAGGAGTGGCCACTGCACTCCAGTCTGGGTGACAGGGTTAGACTCCAACTCAAAAAAACCGCTTTAGCTGAAAACTCACCCACAGGCCTTGGGTTAGCTGGGGTTGGCAAGATGTGGCCAGGCTTGGCTCCACGCTACTGGTTGGGTCCAGGTCTGCTTTGTGTTTCTGTCTGGAGCCCAGCCTAAAGGGGCAGCACCTACTCTGGTGCATGGGTATTTGCAAGCCTTTGATGTGGTAAGTAGGATATAAGCTATAGTATAATTTATTCCAATGAAATTACCTCATCACAAAATGCTAATTAAAATAGATAGCCTGTTAAGCTATTGTAGGAAACCTGGAGGAAGACGACAGACGCTACGTTTCTAAATGTTGGTGACTTCATACTTGACAAAAGGTAAGCAATAAACTTTTTAGGCTGGAGGTTCATTTGTGGAACTCAAAAATGCCTGTTGACACCAACAAGCTTGCCAAGGCTGGGAAAAGGCTGGGAATAAGAAAGTAAGAGAGGAAGATGGGAAGAGGTGAGTCTAATGGAGTGTGGAGTGGTGAGAGCCACCAAGAGCTGCCTTGGCCGCTGGGGGCTGGTGTCCCAACAGGAGTCAGAACAGTCAAAATGGGCATTAAGTTTAGCCAAAGGCATGTGGGGGGAGTCCCATAGGGTTCAATGAAATGGAGGGAGCAAGTCACTGTTTCTCAGACTATGACTTGGGCTCCACATCAAGTAAATGGACCAGCTCCTGGGTCCCTGCTCTAGAAGTAGGTACAAGGCCCAGGATGACACTGTGTTGGATTCAGTAATGGGGGATTTAGGCTATTTGTGTGATGTGTGATAAGATGCGGGAGGTGAAAGCAGCTATTAACACTGATTAACTCAAAGCTGACCACCAGCACACACAGCCATTGTTTCCAGCAGCACTCTTCAGTGCTGGGCTTTGTCTGGCTGGCTTCACAAAAGACAAATGCCATTACTAGAGACCAAATAACCTTATTTAGGCAGTCCTCAGATAATAGAGACGCTCCAGGTTTCAGCCTGACTGCATTAGTTTGATTTGTTACTACAGTTCACCTTGTCCTGAGCATTAATGGAGACAAAGGCCTAGAATTACCAGGAGCAGAGGTAAGCTGTGGATTAGATCTTACTGCGTTTTGAGGGAAAGATAATTCTATTTGGGGTTTTCATTTCCATTTTCATTTTGCTTGACTTTTCCTCAAAGTTAAAGTCCAGTTTTTCCCCCAGAATGTTATATTCTCTCTAAATTAGTAGTAGTTGTAATTCCAAAAATGTACTGAGTCATTATTTCCTTTAACAAGATCAGCCTTTATCCTCTAGGTTTTTGGAAATGATTTTAGTGGAAATATACTAGTGATCTTGTATGTTATCTTGCTTCTTAAATATTCTTATATATCATGAACTCACTTCACAAAAGTTATAATAGAATTGATATTCTGCTATTAGTATTGGAAAATATAAAAAGATGTGCCTATTACATTGATAGTTATTTCTTTTATTTTATAAATTCTGGTATTATTTTATTTTTTCTGACTTCTGAATGTTATCTGTTTCAGTTATAACTGTTTCATTTCTACTCTGACTGATATAGTAGAAATTAGTTATAAACACTATTTATAAACAAAATTGAGTTTTAGAACCACATAAATCAATTATATTAAATTGTCACTGAAAAATATTGATAGTGATATCCTAGAGTTACCATGTTTCTCTCCTCACCAGACTTTTTATAGGTGTGACCAGTTTTTATAATTAAAAAAAAATGAAGTGCATTATTTTCTTTTTTTTTTTTTTTAAGTCTCACTCTGTCGCCCATGCTGGTGTGCAGTGGCATGCTCACAGCCACCCCAGCGTCTACAGCTGGGCTCCAGCAATCCTTCTGCCTCAGCCTTCTAAGTAGCCAGAACTACAGGTGCACGCTACCACACCCTGTTAATTTTTTGATTAATTGCAGAGCTGAGGTCTCACCAAGTTGCCCAGGCTGGTCTCGAACCCGCAGGCTCAGGCAATCCACTCGCCTCGGCCTTCCAAAGTGCTGGGGTTACAGGCTGAGCCACCGAGCCCAGCCTGAAGTACATTATTGCTTGTTGATCAATGTCTATGATGCTGTTTCTTTTTTTTTTTCTATATTCTATAATTTTATAGAGAATCCTCACACTCCTCAAGGATTCAGGAGTTAGGTTTAATTCTAGATAAACTATGACTATTCTTTGAAAATCTCAATTTATGGAAAACACTACTTCAAAAAAGCCTAACTATTAATATTGTAGAATAGTTTCTTGAACTCTTATCCTGAACTAAGCATATATTAAGGAGATACCTATAATTCTGACATGGCAAAGATGTCAGAAAGATGCAAAACAGAATGTGAAGTGTGATCACATTTTAAAAAATAACCACAAAAACAAATGTGTGCGTGTTTGTATATACACACAGATGTTTTTATGATGTTTACATAAATAACTAAAAATGTTTACTGATGACTATCTCTGAAGGATGAAATTTGAGGGAGATTTTACTCTATTTGTATGGTGCTTAAATTGTTTACATATGTAAATATGACTTTTGAGATGAAAAGAAAAGTTTACCCGTCACATGACACATTTTCCCAAGGTCTACTCCTGGCGACTTTGTCTTCCAGTTTAACATAATTTCATAAGAACCTAATGAGAGCAAAGAAAGCTCATGGTAGATACATTTTGACTAATCTATTTCATAAATAGTGCTTCCAATTCTTTTTTTTTTTTTTTTTTTTTTTGAGTTGGAGTCTCACTCTGTTGCCCAGGCTGGAGTGCAGTACCATGCTCATGACCAGCACAGCCTCAACCTGCTGGGCTCAGGCGATCCTTCCATCTCAGCCTTCCAAGTAGCTGGAACTACAGGTGGCACCATTACACCAGCTAATTTTTTGATTTATTATAGAGACAAGTTCTCATCAGTTTGCCCAGGCTGGTCTTGAACCCTTGGACTCAGGCAATCCTCTCCCCTTGGACACCCAAAGTGCTGGGATTACATGCGTGAGATACCATGCTCGGCATAGTACTTCCAATTCTATATATAATGAAAGCAGCCCTGGCCAGGTGCAGTGACTCACACCTGTAATCCCAGCACTTTGGGAGGTTGAGGCGAGAAGATTGCCTGAGCCCCTGGGCTGAGACCAGCCTGGACAATATGGTGAGACCTCATCTCCAATAAATCAAAAAATTAGCTGGGCATGGTGGCATGCACCTGTGGTTCAGCTACTTGTAAGGCTGAGGCGAAGGATCACCTGAGCCCAGCAGGTCGAGGCTGCGGTGGCTGTGAGTATGCCACTGCACTCCAGCCTGGGTGACAGAGTGAGACTCCAACTCAAAAGAAAAAAAGAGGAAACAGCCCTATATATTGGAAAAAGTGGCCCAATTTTTCTTGCATAACATTTAATGGCTCTGGTCTTCCTGTTAACTGTCTTACTGACCTTCCTTCTTTTCTTCCTCTCCATCTCAGAAACAGTGAAACAGAATAAGCACAGCTTATTGCTGACCAATTGTTGGGACACAGAGCTTTCTCCCCCAAATGTGCTCTCAGTAAATGATTTTAAAAAGCTCTAAGATCTGAGTCATAACTGTTTTTCCTCAGAGATAATATACAAATGCTTTCTAGTCTTTCATATGTAAAAAGCAGAAAAAATTAGTAGTTATAAATTCAATAATTCAATGAGAACATTCCACTCATTACCACTGGGAGAGATAAAGGACAAAGGAATAGGAAAAAAAAGAAAAGGGAAGCAAGGGAGAATTCAATTCAAATGGACAAAGCTGAAATATGGTTGCCAGTGGACAAAGTCAGAGTACTCAAGCTGACACTTCAAAACCAAAAACCAAAACCAAAAACCAAAAGCAACCACTTAGGTCTTCCATTAACTTGAAAACAAGTACCCAGATGTCCAATGGAAGGGATTCCCTTCTTGGCATACAACTTACCTATTCCCATCTTTAATTGCCTGGGAAATGGGAAAAGAAAAGAAATCACATAGTTTTTGTCACTTAGAAAGTGATTATTTCCAGAGACTATGTCAGAGCACTTACAAAAAGCAGGTCAGTTATCCTATCTTCTCAGTCAATGTAATGTTGTAACAAAATATACAGTTAATTGGAAATCATTAAACTGGAAGTAGATGATCTTTTACACTTAAAGCCAGATGATCTTTATCATTTTAATGAATGAAATTAAAGGGCAACATTAAATAAACTAGAAAACTATTTAAAATTTTGCATTTATTTGCAGCTTAATTATTTTGTGCAATGCAATACTAATGATATAAATATGATAGCTCATACTCCTATATTTCTACTTTGGCATAATGACTCTACTTTAAAAAAAACTTGAAACAGGCATGCTGTAAGGATTTGTTTTTACATATGGTGAGAAATACTGCTTTATGCCATAAGTCAAGAGGAACTGAAGATTCACAAATACATCACACTCTAAAATATAGTTAAGCATAATCATATATCAAAATGTGCTTGAAGGAAACTAGTGGCATCAAATCATACCTCTGTTCTTCAGATTATTTCACTTGACATACTTTGTAAATAGAATCCAGCTTGTGGAATCACTTACTCTTAAGTTTACTGATTTTAGTCACCTAATTTATTAGATTAACTTTGCTCACTTAAAAAATAGCTGTCTTTTCTGAAAATGTTTATTAAAATATATAAGAAAGGTCTTTATTGTAACTAAAAGTGCCCACATATAATATGTTCCATGCTCTAACAGTAATTATTTACAATATATTTTTGGAAAAAATGACAACATTTAGAGTAAATGCAGGAAAGAAAACATCACATTTTAAACAACTGATTTTCCATTGATTCTTCATACTCTGCATCAGAAGATAATTTCATGTTTTAGTTTTCTATCTATTCCAGAAGGTTTGTGTTGAAATTCTTTTTCGCCATAAGAAACTGTGATTCTCTATGGGACCTTTTCAGCTTTGCACGCCGATTTTGGAACCAAATCTAAAATTGAGGAAAAATAAAATAGGTCTCAGAAACATTATTTTGTTTTCTTAACGCTTCAACCACTATGAGTAACAACAACTAAATCTGAAAATTACCTGGATTCTGTCTTCCTCAAGATTCAATTTTCGAGCTAAGTCTTCTCTGATATCAATGCCAGGATAGCAATTTACTCTAAAGACATTTTCCAACACTTCAATCTAAGAATAAGAAAAACAACCTTTAAAATGTTGATATTCAGTATGCCACCAAAAATGGGCTTTAATTTTTGTAACAAAATAATCTCAATCTTTGGAATTAATCTGAATGCCTTTTAAAAAACAATTATCTAGAAATTGTTAAAATACTATACAGTCTATTGTTTCATTAATAAGGCTTCTAAACTGGAATAGTAACACAAATGGGCTTTTTCTCAAAAAGGTGTTAAAGGCTTTGAATTACTATTACTGGATGAAAAAACTTCCCACCTGGTTTTGAGTAAAAGCAGTTCTTGGTCTTCGACCTCTATACCAACTCAACTCTCTTTTCAAAGATAGTCTTTCTGAAGCTGAAAAGTAATTTTCATATTTCAAAGCTCTTTCTTCTGGCATTGGGTGATCCACCATGCAAGGGAACGAGATCCCATTGTAAAGACTTGGGACATGTAGACGTAGGTTACCATCTTTCCCTTTGAAAACAGAAAAATAAACCCCATCTTAGATTGTCAATCTTATGTTCCACAAAGTTCTATAAGATGTAATTTCAGAAACATCTTAAAATTTCTAGTGGAATTTTTCTGGGTTTCACAAGAGAACTGCCCCTCCTCAACCAAAACCCAAAAACCAAACAAAAATGAAGATACTGCCTTGGTAATTTTGCCTTTGGTCTCTGAATGTCATTTATCTTTCAGTGAAAACAGCTATTTCAAATATCTGATGTGCCAAATAAACACACAAAGCACTCTTCTAAAGTAAACACAGGTCCTTGGCATTTCCAGTGGGCGAACTTTATTTTCATCTGGATCAATCTAAGGCTGATATTCTTTTTATTTGCCATAGTACTCAGCGGGAAGTATTAAAAATCCTAGGTGCTTCAGTTATGTACTTGGACAAAACTGCAGCTTCTCTCTAACTCTGTGTATGATATAAAGGCAAATTAAACACTGCAAATGAAAAAACAAAGTGTTGAAACAATTAAGTTTTGGCATACCTGAGGAGCTGCAGGTGTCTATCCAGGGCCTGTGGGGTTTCACTGATGAAACACCGTCTTTCTTCTGGTCTGGTCCTAAGATGCTCTCAATTGAAAAGGAGCAGGGTGAAGGTTTGCTTTCCCCAAGCCGAGCACCTTCCTGAAGGCTGGGAGACATCCTCTCGTGGGTTGCACAGAGCAACAGCTCTGGCCTCTGCTGGCTCTGCCCCACGTGTACAGGGCTGGGATCTTCCTGCAGTTCACCTTATAGCTCCACTGACAAGGGGGCCGGATTTAGAACGTCACTAATTAAAATCCTGTCTTAGAAAGTTTTAGCATGTCAATGAACCAGCCAGCAGCTTAAGGAGTTAATTGTTTATCTGTTTGCAAGTAATTAGCAACTAATGGCTACACCAGGGGGGCCACCTACAGGGACAAAAAGTGTTATCTCTCCTAAGCAGAACACAGACTTAACTTTCTCGAAAGAAGTGATGCACAAACGTAGCACTCCTCTTTTATTTGAAATCATTAATGTATAAAATCATGCTTTTTATTCTGAAGTTTGTACTTTCATTGACTCCAGTTCCTAAACATACAGGCAAGATAGGAGAGCAGTTGAGTAATAAATAATCTAATTTAAGTGAATTTTCTTCCAAGAAAATTGGAAAAAAAAAAATCTCTTAATGCTATTACGGTAATTCTGATGAAAATGCCTGTTTTTCATATGCATATGTAATAGTGAATGTTGTCAATGAAAACAATAGTATTTGGAGTGCAGTATACTGGAAAAGGTTGGCAATGTTCTTAACACTGAGTGTAATTGTCTTCCAAGTACCTGGATTAATTCATAGGAACAGTTGCACCAAGTATTTTAAATAATCAATGGGCTAATTCCTTTCCTTCATCTTTTCTTTTAAATGAGAAAGATACAAGTTTATATGAAGATTCATATGTAATCACCTTCAAGCAATTTAAAAGCATGACAATTTACACAAAAGAGAATAATTTCTCTCCCTACCACAGTTGTTTCAAAGAAAAGAACATGGTTTACTTTCTAAAGAAAAATTTCCCTCTGTGATCTTTTGAGGGATGGGGTAGGGGGTGACTGGGGTGGTTTCAAGAAGATGAAAATAACCAACAGCAAGATATTTTAATTTCATAATTTTAAGAAAAATTAAAATTAAAAGAAAAGTATAACTGCTAATTGGGAGGATTTTGAAGTGACCGTTCCCCTAAAAAGGTGTAATACTTGTAGTTCTTGTACTCTGTTTCTCCTCTTCTTCCAGTGCCTTCTTTTTTTTTTTTGATTTGGAGTCTTACTCTGTCGCCCAGACTGGAGTGCAGTGGCTGCTCCCGGCCACCGCAGCCTTGACCTGCTGGGTTCCGGCGATCCTTCCGCCTCAGCCTTCCAAGTAGCTGGAAATACAGGCGCGCGCTACCACGCCTGGCTAATTTTTGATTTATTGTAGAGATGAGGTCTCGCCAAGTTGCCCAGACGGGTCTCGAACCCGCAGGTTGAGGCAATCCACTCACCTCAGTCTCCCAAAGGCACAGGATTACAGGCTGAGCCACCAAGCCCGGCCTGAAATACTTTTAATGATTATTATGCTTAACTATGAATTGAAAGGTTCTTACATCTGATAGGGTTTTTGTTTGATTTGCCTGGGGTGGGGGGTAGGCTGACAGCTTGGCCTATAGTAAAATGTAAGTTTATAAATGTCTGAACACACGCCTGATTAGTTTTTGTGATTTATTGTAGAGACTTGGTCTCACCAAGTTGCTCAAGTTGGTCTCGAACCCCCAGACGCAGGCAATCCTCTTTCCTCGGCCTCCCAAAGTGCTGGGATTATAGGCTGAGCCACCGCGCCCGGCCTACAATAAATAAAAAAAAATTTTTTTTGAGTTACAGTCTCACTCCATTGCCCAGGCTGGAGTGCAGTGGCATGCTCCCGTCCACCACAGCCTCAACCTGCTGGGCTCTGGCGATCCCTCCGCCTCAGCCTTCCAAGTAGCCGGAACTACAGGTGCGTGCTACCACGCCCGGCAAATTTTTTGATTTATTGTAGAGATGAAGTCTCACCACGTTGCCCAGGTGGGTCTCGAACCTGCGGGCTCAGGCCATCCACTCATCTCAGCCTCCCAAAGCGCGGGATTACAAACTGAACCACTGAGTCCGGCTTCCAGTGCCTTCTTGAAGATAAATTTAAGTGCTTAGCTTTGTCCGTCATTTAAACAACTGCCAGACTTTTCTTCAGAGAAGAGGAAAAGTAGTCTCTATTAATAGAAGAAATAGCCTCTACAGGATGGAGCTCAACTTCATCAGGTTTTATCCTATCATGATCTCACAAATATTAAGATAAATTCCTTCTTATGCAAGCTCTTGAGTGAACGAAGTATCTCACATATAAAACATCAACAGGCACACAGGAGGATGAATTTATAAATATACCTGTAAAACCATTCTGAAGATGAATAAACCAGTAAACATTTACACTTCATGGAGATTTTGTATATAGTGTTGAAATGTAGACTGTGAAAAGTAGGGGTGACCTTAATCTAGCAAGACTAGGAGGAAGAGAGAGAATTTAAGACCTTCCCATATTTCTTTCTCTCCTTGAAGACATTCATTCTTTCCACAATTGGTTACGCATCTACTTAGTATGAGAAAAAGCAGAATAGGATCCTTGCCTTCATGAAGCTCACAATGGTGCGAGGTAAGAGGAAACAAGCAATAATTATAAGTAAATTATCTGGCATATTAGCCAGGGTAAGAATGGGAAAAGGAAGCAGGTGAGCCAGGTAAGATGGATAATTGGTGCAGGATGTGGAAGGGATAGATGTCAGGGCAGGCCTCACTGAGCCCCTCAGCCCCACCGATTAGTACCTCAGAGATACAAGGCACAAGGATGTTATAGCATATGCTCAAGCAACTCCACTTCCCAATTCCTTCTTTATTTACAAGGACACTCCAATATTTTCATTCAATTTCACTAGATTTTCTTTAGATTTACCTAACATCATTTTATATATGGATGAGTAGATGAGAATAAAAGACAGGAAATACATTCTCCAAAAATGTAAAGGAAAAGATTTTTATAGGGCACTTAACATGTGCTAGACACTACTACAGGCACTAGAGGTCAGTGATGAACAAAACATGGCAATTTCAGAGAGTGATAAATACGCTGAAAGGAGTAAACAAGGTGCTGGTGAAGCACCATAATGGGTCTCTACAATGGCCACCAAAACCCTACATGATCTGCCACCCTTCTCACCTATCTAATCTCATCTCTTATTCCTCTGTCCCATGCTCACTCTTTTCTAGCCTCACTGAACTCTTCCTCCACCTCTTGAAAATACCAGGCATAATTCTGCCTTAAGATATTTACACTGGTTGTTGTCACCATCTGGACTGTTCTCTCCCCATGCATTGCCATGGCTCCCGGATCTTTTTTTTTTGAGTTGTAGTCTCACTCTGTCGCCCAGACTGGAGTGCAGTGGCCGCTCCCGGCCACCGCAGCCTCGACCT